ATGCCTCCAAGATGGAACGAATACGTCAGGTAATTGCGTACCTAAATATCCGTCTTTTCAACCACCTTTATCATTGCCAGAATCTTATGGATTCTCTACTTCAGTGGATCCCACAAGATGCTCTTTCTGCACCTATATCATGTGCGGTCTACTCCTGCAACAGTCAACTGGTATATGCTTCCTTTTGTGATGGTAACATTGGTGTGTTTGATGCCGACTCCCTAAGATTGAGATGCCGCATTGCCCCATCAGCGTATTTATCCCAGGCATTAGTTAACGGGTGAGAATACCATCCGTCCTTCTCACTTACTAATTTCATCTTCTAAACCTCGTGCTTGCATGGGTCGCTTAGAGCAACATTTTATCATTGTCATATTTTAGGTGCAGGAATAATTTAATTATTTGTATGAAATTGGAATTCACTACCCAGGATCAATTTTTATTCCGTCGTTTTCAGAGCCATTTTCCATATGCATTCTTGTCTATGTCCTTCTAGCTTTGTTTTACGTTAATTACGGTTTCCAGACATGTTTGCATGCTACTTTGTTCTTATAAATGAGAGAGATATTTTGACAGCTAGGAAAGGGTTTTTATTAAACTCTCATTTCCAACTTTCACTAATGAAAAGATTATTTATGCTGTTACTTATTTACTCACAAGTAAACTTTTTAAGCTTAGCCAAACATGCACTATAATTCATAATGCACAATATAAAATCTCTGCCATTGTTGTAATCACTCGGTTGAAGTGGTGTGTAACCGTGTTTAATTAATCTCTCAGAAGCCAAGCCATATACCCGCTCGTTGTTGCAGCTCATCCACAGGAGCCCAACCAATTTGCTGTTGGGTTAACAGATGGGTCTGTTAAAGTGTTGGAACCGACAGAATCGGAAGGCAAGTGGGGAATTCTTCCTCCAGCTGATAACGGAATAATGAATGGTAGAACAGGTTCCTCATCCACTGCTAGCAACCACGCCCCTGATCAACCCCAAAGATGAAGTCTTGATGACATTTGTCATGTGTATTTTATCAGTATAGATTTTAGGGTTTTTTTCAGTCCGTTTTCTGTGTACTTTATAAGTTTAGATTCGACATGGACACAGATTTTCATAGTTTCCTGCTACATCTGTTCAATGTGTCTTGGTTTCCTGACATTAAATTATCTATACATATATATTTTCTTAACATTACTTGGCAAATGTTACTATTATTTCTCGTTTCATCATGATCGATGATGATATATATTTGTTGAGAAAATAATCTTATGGGAATGGCTGATTTGTAGACGAGGAATAAATATTCCAACTCGTTTTCTCCCTTCACTGCTCTACTGAATTGTTATTGTTAGTTTTTGTTTTGTGAATTAGCGTCGTTTACTCATTAATTGGGAATATCCTGCCAGAAGGGGCTGACCAAAAATTCTTGATTTTGTCTCGTGAATGCTCGAGAATTAGAATAAATAAATGTTGAATTGATTATATGGAATACTTGAGAAAATTGCAAAATACATTTTATACCCTAACTGGATAAAACAATACTCATTTCACAGTCGAGAGATCTCTGCATTGAATCAAGATATTCAATAAATTTTAAAACATACACATTTGCATTCAGATATCGAATCGTCGAACTCCAATTAAAGAGTACAATAAAATAAGACACTAATTAGAAATGAAAAGCTCAAATGGTGAAAAAGAAATTTGATTTTCCAAACCCCATTTTCTTCGAAGAATGACTATGAAATTGAAGTCATTCATTCCCCAAGTTCACCATCTTCAACTTCTGGAAATACTTGACAAGTGGTAGTTTTCTTTTTACTTCTGCGATCTGATATGCACATCCAAATAGGCCCTACGAAAACTATGGCAAACATGGCCAACAAGACAAAGGTGAAGACGGACAAGGCAGCACGTTCTTCGAGGTTGTAAGAACTCCCACGTTCAATAGATTTTTCGCAAGTATATACGGCTATCCCCAATAATATACCACTAGTAGCAACATAAATCAAGAACAAAAATGCATACAGACCCACCAATTCGACTAGTAACATCCATTGTGAGGATTCCCTATTCCCCATTTCATCCATCCATCTTTCCCAGTGAGGAGAAGATTCAAATCACACACATATCCGAACGTGTCTGTGAGAGAGAGAATATATTATATTTTACTATGTTAATTTTAGGGTTTAAGTGGACGCTTCTTTGTAGAACTCTACTAATACAAGAATTGTAGCCCTAATTATTTTTCTTGCTAGACTGAATTTTTTTTATCCTTGTCAGTCTATTCCTCTAGAAAGACACATACGTTAGCAATCCTTTTTTCCTGTGGAATAAAGATTGAAGAGTACCTGTTGAAGAGAGAATAATGGAATGTACACGTAGTTGAACAACACAACAAACAAGATTTTTGAGAGCATTGTTCAGTCGAGTGTATCAAATTTGTCATAGGACTTCTTCAGGTAACAAAACTCCATTTGTATCATAATGAAGGGCACCGGAGAGATTCAGTGGGCTGCATTTTTCTCCCATTAGAATTCTCTTCTTGCATAACTTCATTTCACTTCTTTCCTCTTCTTCTTCATCACATTTTAAAACTTTCTCCGCTACGCGCTTTCCACTTGTAATCCTTCTATTAATAGGCTTTACGTGTCAAAATTCATCAGGATTCTTTGAACAATTTTCCTGACTGGCTTCACCATTGCTTTTCTCATCAAGCTTCAATTTCCTAAATGGGAAACTAATCCTCTTTCCGATAAATCTGAAGATTTTTGTGGGCATTTTCCCAGTTTTCTTATCACTTCACCAGAAAATTTTCTCCATGGACTTTTTCTTCACATGAATATTGAATATTCTGATATTCATGATGAATACTTCTTGAGCCTTTTTGCTGCCACAAGCATTCAAAATGATAAAACCTATTCTCTTTCGTAGAAAATCTCCATTTTTCGACGCCTTCTTTCGATCAACAATGGTTACACTACCGCCCCTATGATTTCTTCTCTGCATGGATTTCGACTCTCATCTCTGGTTGAGGTAGACTGATGCCAATAATGTAAGGATCATCATGAGGATATTTATGAAAAGAATTTACCCTTTTCATTTTCATCTTTTCATCCAAGAAAATTACCATTGCTTTCTTGCTCCAAGTTACTGCATTTGAGAAGTGAAAAAGAAAAGTGGGAGGCTGGGGTAGTTGGATAGATTGAGGAAGAAGTGGAGCTTCCAAAATGTCCTATTCTTGGGGTAATTTGTTTAAGAGTGTTGATACTCTTTCCATAAATGCCCTTAATTTCCAATTTTCGTGTTTACAAAATGGGTAATTTAGTAACAAATCTTCGATAAGGTAATAGATAAAAATCAGTTAATATTTTGGTCATGAATAAATCTTCGAGGATATAATTTACACATGTTGTTTACCTGAGATTTCAAGAAACCTTATTTACAAAGGACATTTTCTTAACATTATCACCACCACCAATACCATCATCATCATCATATGAGATATGCAAATTCACAAGTCATTACATAAATCTTTAAATGGAACGAGATGAGAAATTATAAGAGATAAGACTTTAGTAATTTAAGAAGAGAATATCAAATATTTTTTTCAAAAGGACTCAACTAAGCTCCTTATAATGTCTTAAGTTGATATCATGAGACAATCATTCAAGAGAATTTAAAATGAGATTGAATTTAGCCATGGGAGAGATGTCAAGGAGAAGAACACGACAATAAGGTAACTAGTTTAAAGGAGGAAATTAGAGTGGAGGTCTTCTATTTTTCATTTTTTGAACTAAGGACTTCCTTAAATAAAGTAAATCATCTATCACAACGGAAGAAGTAAAACAAGGATAACTTATAGTGATCTGAAATAATAACAGATTTTCATTCCACGGATGAAGTACAAAAAGTTTATATAATAACAGATTCTTATTGCAGGATGAAGTACAAAAAGTTTAGAGAGGCGAAAAATGCTATAAGTGGACATTTTTGTTACAATTTGACCTTGTTGGGTCAAACTAATCAGTCCAATCTAGATTTTGTAACCATTATATAAAAAATAACTTAGGCTTACAAATATTTAACCTAAGGGTATTTAGTTTTTCATTCCCCCCATCTCAAGGCACTTATTATTATCTAATCATCTTGGAAAGGATTCTTGTTACATATTTCGAGGTTGTTTCACGTATGATTGGGAAGTTGAGCAATTTCTAAATTGTACAATTGATTTTCAACTTATGACTAGTATAGTAACTTGAACTTCTATCCTTGAATTGGAACATAATTCTCAACCTTCTTATTGCACAAGTAGTCAAAGATGATAGAAATGATCAAATTTATCACGTCCCAATTTAAAGATTTAGAAGTAACTTATGAATAACTAGGGATGGTAATGGACCGAGAAGACTAAGCCCATAAGCCTTACTTGTCCAGCATGTTTGGCTCGATTCATGTTGGAACAAGTTGAGCCAACTAGTCGAACAAACAAATAGTCCAAGCCCATTGATACATAATATCCGACGCACGTGATTTAATTGTCAAGTGTGGCTCGGCTTGCCAATCCAAAATTTGAGCTCGACTTGATCCATGAGTATGTGGTAGAGCGAATCGAGCATATAAAAAGTGTACTTCCTTGCATGTGAAAGGAGTATGCAAATTTGGACTGCTTTGTGAAACCAAGACCATTTCACTTATCATTTGCACTCTCCTGGGCACACTCATTGATATACGTTCTTATGTTGCAATTTGGGAACATTTAAATACGATAAGAGCATTTTTAAGAGACATTCTATTTATAAAGAACATCTTATATATAATAGAGATTATTTAAATTTAGAGAGTAAATTTTTTTTATACAATCCAACAATATTCTCTATTTTGACTATTTTTTTTCCTCATTTCTTATTTTAACATAATTTTTTATATGTTAATGATTAATTAATTCAAATGTGGTTTAAATTTAAGTCTTAGAATATTGAAATTTGTAATTTATTATGCAATTATTGTTATTTAAGAATAGAGTGAATTTGGTCACTCTTTATTGTGAAAATTAAAATAAAGAGTCTTTAAACTTATTTTTAAGCATTACTCTTTAAAATAGGTATTACTTTGTGTTTTGAGAATCTCTAAAGAGGAAATACCTACATATAGCCTAAATATAAGAGTAGTTTGCAAGATTAAACCAAAAAATATAATCATTTGAAAAATAGCCTTTGAACAATATTTTTCAAAAAATACCCTTTATAGAGAATTTGCAACCAAAGCCATTACAATGTATAAAAACCTTCAATCAGGTACTCAAAGAAATATAGATCATAAATTTTTAATAAATTTAAACTCAAATATTATACAAAATTTTATTGATCTAAGAAACGCGACAGATAATGAATTAAATTATTTAAAAGAAGATCTAAAAAGTTTCTTTACCGAATATTTAGATCCAAAATTAAAATATAAAAATGTTTATATAGATAAAGGAGCAATCAAAACCAAAAATGATATATATAAAATAATTCTTAACCTGGAAAGAAGAATTAAAAAATTAAATATAATTATTGAAGAAAAAATCTTAACAAAAGATAGTGAATTTTATAAATTCTATTGTGATATTTTAAATACTTATAAAGATTTTAATTGGCTCAAAAATCTTAACCCCTCTACTGCACACCCGATGAAATGGTATCAGAGCAAAGTTACGAACCTAAAATTATGATGAACATAGTAGATGAAGAAAATATAATTGAAATTTTTTTGAAAAAAGTAGAAAAACATAAAAAACCTAGTTATCCATATTTACCTAAAAACACCACAAATGAAAGTTTTGAGGATATACATAAAAGATTAGAAAATTTAGAACATAATCTACAAGTAGGAAATGTTCTATTAGATAAAAATTTTAAAGGAAAAGATAGGATTATAATTAATCCACCTCAAGATTTTAGGATAGCACAAAAAGAAAATAATAAAGGAAAAAAATGAAGAAAATCAATATATGATTACAGATGTAGAAGAACTAGAACAAAAATTCTTAGAATCTACTAGTGAAGAGTATGATAAATATAAAAAACAGTTAGAAGAATTAACTGAAAAAATGAAAAATAAAAAGATGAATACTAATCCATCATCAAGTCGAAATATAAAAATAGAATTCAGTAGTGATGAAGAATATGATCATCCTTATGGTACTACAA